AAAACGAGCTTGCGAGAGCACGGTTATGGTCTCATCTCATATGTTGCGCTGTAGTACAGCATGGCGACACCACTGATTCAGATACTTTGGAGTTACTAGCGCATCGTAAAACCTCGTTGTCATCGGCGGCTTCCTGAACAAGGTTGCGGCATGACAGTAATATATTATATTGCGCTTACATTGCACTGTTTGCAACAGCAGACTGATATTTCATTATCGACAAGCAAACTCTACCTGCGAAAATAAATGTAATACGAAGAGAATGCCCAGAGTTTTAGTAATCAGTAATTTGTAATTTGATATAATTAAATATTAGTGATTTTTAAGAAAGGAATCGGTAATGTAAAACAGTTAGTTTTGGAAAATGCTTTTGCCATCTCTCGCCTAGAAATCTCTAGAGGGCGACTGTACTAAAGTGATTAACCATTTCGAGAAGAGATAATGAGTTGAGAAAAATTAACGCAATATTGTAATTACACTCCCAAATTTTGACGGGTGAAATTGTACTTTAAACTTTTGTTTACGGAAAGGTGGAGTTCTAGTCACCGGTGTGGCCACGTGCAATATGACGTCTAAACGCGGCACTGGTCACTAGTAGGATCTCAAAACGCAATATAAAAATGCAAGGAACGGAAAAAAAAAAGGCTCTGCTTCGCATTATGGATTTTTGCAGATCTCAATATTTGGAGTTTCGGTCAAATTTCAGAACAAAAACAACGGTCTGACAGCCCCCAGCACTGTTTATTTCAACGTGTGTCCCATTTAGGCAACACCAGGTGGGTTGGGGTAAAAGCACCGGATATGTTAGAGTACGCACGCTGGCATGAATTCCCGTCCCGTAAACACTTTTTGTAAGGCTCGCCACTTCCTCTTCAAGTACCCAGGGTCACAATACACACTGTAGTACCGTATTTTCCGGACTATATAAGTTTAAAAGTTGAAAATTCACCCGGTGCGGACTATCTACAGGATCGGACAATACAATGATATAATTTTTCTAGATCCTTCACTATGACAATCGTGAAGGATTTTATGAGTAACGGACTATACTAATGTTGATTTACGTACGATAAAGCTTCATCGTGAGCTAATACAGTAGGCGTTTGTCAAGGTCTGCTGAGTATGATACTTTTTACGTTCGGACTAGGTGCTAAGTGCGGGCTTTGCACTGGGTGCCGTTTGTGTACCGGGTGCGGACTACCTAAGCAAGCACTTTTATTTTTGACGCAAAATATTTCCCTGCGGACTATGCACCGGGTCCGGGCTATAGTCTGGAAAATGCGGTAGTTCCTTCGAACTCTAGGGTTCTTGGACGATGGCCCTTAGCCTATGCCCATCGTCACATGGCCTTGGGTCACTTTACATGGACGGCAGAAGCAGTCAAATGCTCGGAGTAGCCAAGCATGCTAATCGCAAAACAAAACAAAAATTCAGAGACAAAACCGAGAGGCTAGGCTCTGAAATGCTGCAGAAAGGAGAGTTCGGTTTCGGGCGCTTCTCTGGTATCGCAGGAGGAAAGGGGTCGCTGTGCCTCCCGCCGCAAATCGCCCATTATGCGCTTAGCTTGGCTTATCTGGCCCCGAGATGCAGCAACAAAAGGAGTCTCCCCGCCTTCAAGTCAACTGTGGGAGAGGAGGAAATGGGAAGTGTGGCGAGGGGAACTTTTTTCTGGTTGAAAAATATTCTGCAGGTTGGTCTTTGAGCGCCGCGTGGTGGGAAGTTTTGAAACTAGCCCGAATGTCTCAGAATCTTGGCCTTGTTCCTCTCGAGCCGTCGACACAGAGTGCGGAAACCGTGAGCGCTCGCTGAGCCCACTACCCCTCCTCTAGTTCACGGCCACTCAAGCAACCAAGGACGTCATGAAGGCGGTCATTTTTTGCTTGTTTCTGTAATTTTTATTCTCCTATAACTTTTAAAATAAAGCGAAATTCGAGAAAAGAAAAGTTTCATTGAGTTGCTACGTTCAGTGCGCTCAGTTTCGGTGCAAATTAAAAACCAGTAAAAAAAACCTTGCAGGGCCCCTTTAATGAAAAAACGGCATGACTACCGAAATTTCTGTTCGTGGTTTTTTTGTTTCTTTGTTTTTAGTTTTGTCCGATGAAACAATACAAAATCTGTTTGGAAAGAAAATCTCAAGGGTACCTTGCAGCCTCAAACTGGGGAAACATAACCTGAATAAATGTCAAAATCGTGGGGCAATAAGACTTTTGCAGCTCGTTATTTACCATTATTCAAACTAAACCTTCGTTTATGTGCTTCGAACGGCAACTATCCAAATAAAGTATTTGTATTGCCTTTGTATTTCTACACCTCCAACCAAACCCCTGGACAATTTGGAGCTGGGGGTAGAAATACTGTTTTACGTTGTTTTCTGGCCTCTCGATAGAGAACCTTACCTTGGGAGCCTCCTTGTACACGGTATTCTCGATGTAAGCAACCAAGGCTGAGTCAAGAGCACAAGCCCAAATGTCACCACATATATTTTGATAAAAACTGAACCATAGGTACAATCTTTGATCAACTCATGCAATTTGACATATAAGCTTCGGATATTGATTTCTGGAAGGGAAGGAGCTACCGCCAAACACATACATACGCCTTGACCTTAAATGAACCTTGGCCATTATGATTTACAACTGTAGATCTGAAATATAGCTCAGATATCCTTAAGAAAAATTAATATCTCCAGACCAGGCTGAGATTGGAATCGAAATAAATTATCCTCCAAAAACAGGCGGGGGACCTAGAATGCAAAATCGCTGATTGCTTATAATACATATGTAATTGATGTTCAAACAAAAAGTAGCGCAAGCCTTCCCGTGAAAAGGCTGAAAATCTTATAAGTCACTGCAAGACGTAAGTGCTTATGGGCATCTGAAATCTAGAGAACACAGACCATTTTGAAGTGTTGCTTCGACTTGCCGCGTAATTAGTAATTTTTATTTTTTTGCACTATTTAGACAAACAGCTATACGCTATAAGCGCGTTGCTATATTATCAAATGGCGTTGAGAATACTCACTCATTTTTTAAACAATTTATTCATAAAAACGATTCATTTTAAACTAACAGATCCAGGTCTTTAGTTGTGACAATCACTACCAGAGGTGTATCACGTGAAGATATCGCTTCCCTTGCTGACTTCTGCTGCTTCAAACGTCTCTGAATTGTCCAAGTTTCTCGTTCCTTTCGAGCCGAACCTGATCCCAGAGACTGGTATTGCAGCGCGAGGATCTAGGGAAAGCTAGGGAACTACTCGTCAGCAACACCGAAATCGCTGGGAAAATCGCCACGTCTAAAGCTGGCCTAAGTGACTTCTTGTGACGCCTAGCCACCTAAAGTATGTCCATCTGGCCGTATAATTCACCTGAAGTGAGTTACACGGCAACAATCAGTGTTGATTTTATTATATTTATTTTATTAATTTCTTGAGCGTAAAACGAAAACCTGTTGAACTGCACCTCGTGTTAAGTGACTACGGCGCTGCCCAAGTTGCCTGTGTATCGTTACAGTTCCCACCGTATCGGCAGTCACGGATTTTTGAATTTTAAAACCATTTGCAGCACGTCGGAGGAGCGAAAATGGTTGCAAGGGCTGCTGCGCTTGCTTTCTGTTTGACTTCTCGGCAACTTTCTTTTAAGCTGAAAAGGATGCGGCCGGTTTCTTCCATTGTGGCCGCCATGCTGGAACTTCTGCACGCCCTCTCAGCATACCAGAACAATCCAGTTATTCCTCGTGTGAGCACTTAATTGGATTCAACATGGTCTACATGAAGATCTTGATGCGCCTTGAAAATATCAAACTATCTCCTTCAGGGGATGGGACTAGATTCGATTCAACTCGCTTAGATTGTGAATCGAGGCATTTCCACGGGTTGATGCGATGGTCCAATTCATTTTAATCAGGTACTATGGCATCTGGGCTTACATGAATGCGATCGTAGCACATAGAATCGGTCAGGGACGAAGCGGTCCAGCAAGGTGCGTGTGGCAGGCTATAACGCGAACTCGTCGCTTTTTTAGAGCCCTGGATGAAATCTGCATGAGCGTTAAGGTGAACCGAACCAAGCTTTGCGACAGTCATAGCCTGTGCGTATTTGTCCGCAGGAGGAAAATGCGTTCCAAAGGGCGCATGGTGAATATATCCCTATGTTGAAATTTCATAAACTCGTGTTTAAAGACTGACCCAAGTGGCCGTATTCGCGGTCGTGTTCCCTCAGAGCTGTTTACATGAATGCGTGTGGCGGCTGGCGGAAAGGCGCAGTTCAGTGGGTGCTTCTGGCAAGCTATAACGCCAAATCGTCTCTCTTTTCTGGGTGGGGAACTGCCTGCTTGTTTGTTTTATGCCTCGCTGTACTGCTGCATTCCGAGATGCGTCCTCTTGAAAGAATGGTCCAGAGTTCAATTCCCACTGAGCCGCTTCGTAGATGTCGTTTGTTTCTATAGTTTTGCCTAATCGTTACTTCGTAGAATTGATCACGTCTAAGAATGCCTTCTTTTTGTACTGTTACGCATTGTCGACTACGAGTAGTATATCCTTTTTGTTGCCTCGGTCTGAGTGCAACGATTATGTGTCACACTCGGGCGCAACACGTTTCGCATAACATCCCGCCCAAAAACGCAGTATGTGTTTACACTTATCTTCGCGGTGATGAGGCCGCGGTGAATTTAGCAGCAACCTGCGACGCGAGGAGATTTCTTCAAAGTAAGTCTACGAACGGCATACATGTGTATATATGAGCATTCATGTACTGGGGTGCAAGCTACTACACAAACTCTTTGCTCATCACGTCCCTATAAACAGGTTACAGTCGTGTCTCGTTTATATAAACCCCGTTAATGCTGATAGCCAGCTATAAGTACACCATTTTCGGGACAAACTGCGAAGAAGCATGCATTATTGTCTGGTTATTATAGACAACTCACATTATGGATGCATTTTGGCGGAACGGAGGTGTCTACATTAATGAGACATCACTGTACATGTATGGACTTTTCTTACCTGGTTGGCATCGGGATAATCTAGTGTCGTCTTTTCAGCTAAAATAACATCGCTGTGGAATAAGAACAGTGATCCCAAAAAGAGCAAGACAATCATCGTCTCTTGAGGTTTAAACATACCGATACGTTCCAACACGGTATATACTGGGTATACTGCTTGGTGTTTATAACAATGCAAGTCCCTAGGCCAAGATCTTCTGTTCTTTTTTAGTGAACCTGTCAACCAGCTGCTAAAGCACAATAGCTATTGTCCCCGTAAAAGAAAAAAAATTACTGTGGTATATCTCGGCTATGCCCGAATATACGTAGCGTGAGCTTATGCGCACAAAATGAGAGGCGCCATCAAGCAGCTCCGGCGCAACGTCAGACTTGGCTACTGCGCAACAGAGGCGCACAGCTGCGCACGTGGCGGCACCAGTGCGCCCGCCGCGGCTATGACGTCACTTTTCTGGAATGCGCAGACGGGCAAAGCGGGCGCGGCGGCGGCGGCTCCGGCGCGCAACCTGTGCGCCGTGTGACGTCACTCCTCCTCCCGCATGCGCAGCACGGCGCACGGCTCAATATGCAAGCCACGCGAAACTGCTCACCCTCGGCCAATGCAGCTCAGGATACAAAATAATATTAATCTCACAAACGTGTCTTGCGTGCAAAAACCTTTTCTGTTTGAAGGGTGAATGCAATGCCCGGGCTCAACATATACCAGAAGCATGCAGTTATAAATTCAGTCTGTGGAACTATAAAGTTTAAAAGCCCTTAGGAAAAAAGAATGGGTTTAACCCTATGTGCATTGTAAGCATGCGTCACTGAAGTCGATGAACTCGAGTCGGAAGGTTATTGTCGTTGTTCAAATATTACTTTGTGTTTTTTATTTAAACGTGGCACGACAATTTTGGACAATGTTATACGACTTCGCATCTGATAATCCAGTGGTTGACAACAACGATCCCTCTTGGCTAGAACGCACTAGAGAAAACAAACAAATGAACATAAGGAGTCCTGTGTAAAGCGTGAAATGCATGTGAGCAAAAATCGCAACGCATCTCGCCGCCGCGCGGCGTAAGTGTAGAAACCACCAATGACATCAACTGTTAAAATGGTTATGCCGCTAAGCGGCGCGAAGCAACGCGACTTCGGTTATTTACTTTATTTATTTATTTACAATACTGAAAGCCCTTTCGGGCTGTTTCAGGAGTGTACAGCAATAAAACAACAGAAATACAGAACCAAAGATCAAGAACAATCACCGCAATATAATCATTTGAGTACAATTTCGGTTGAACCACACCACCGAAAGTCACCACCACCAAGGTATACTAGTATGGCTTTGCATATAAATCAAATAATACAGCTTCAAATTTATCGGTACTGCCAATCCCAAGAAAGAGGTCGCCATCCAAACTATTCCACTCCTCAACTGTTCTTACAAGAAAAGAGTACTTAAAAACATCGAATTTGGTAAATATGGCTTGACTCCAAACTGATTATTAACTCTCGGGGACCTTCAACCAGGAAGCTGTATATAGTCACTCGAACTGATGTTATAATGCCCATTGTAGAGTTGATAAAAAAATTTTAACCTTCCAATTTTTCTCCGCTGACCCAAAGTTGGCAGCCCCGCTTTTTTTAATAGTTCTGTTACCGATTCCGTGCGGCGATAATCTGAATAAACAAATCTTACTGCCCGCCGCTGGATACGCTCAAGTTGTTCTACTTGATATTTGACGTATGGATCCCAGATCACGTGCGCGTATTCAAGAGATGATCGAACTAGAGTCTTATACGCAAATAATTTAACTTCAGGCGTTGTATTTTTGAGCGCCCGTCTTAAAAACCCAAGTTTTCGCAAAGCCGCACTACAGATATTTCCTATATGTTCACTCCAGTTTAGATCGTTAGAAATTGTGACCCCTAAGTATTTAAATGTTTCGGATTGTTTCAAAAGTGCACCATTATAGGAATACGGAAATATATTAGGTGACCTCTTTTTTGTGATTGTTACAAAAGTTGTCTTTTCAAAATTTATCTTCATATCCCATTTTTGACACCACTCGTGCATAGTCATTAACGAGTCATTTAATAGCATTTGGTCCCGTTGTGAATTAACTTTGATGTACATTAGACAATCGTCTGCAAAAAGACGGACTTCAGCAGATGGATGAATTTCAGTTGCAATGTAATTTATATACGCAAGAAACAAAATTGGTCCCAAAACCGAGCCCTGAGGCACACCGGAAGTGACTGGCAGCAGCATGGAAGTTTCCCCAGCGATCTCAACAAATTGAAATCTGTTTGACAAGTAAGATTTGATCCAAGAAACAATAGGCGTACTTACCCCTAAATCCAACAATTTTTTTAGCAGCTTCGAGTGCGTGACTCGGTCAAATGCTTTTGACAAATCAATTGATATCACATCTACTTGACCACGCTCATTTAAAACAGATGCGAAATAATGAGTCGCTTCAAATAACTGGGTGACAGTTGATGACTTCCTTCTAAAACCATGTTGTTTTTCGTAAAACAGACCATTCTGTTCGATGAAGTCTGTGAGATGTTTACAAATAATATGTTCGAGGAGTTTGCAGGCAGTAGAAGTAAGGGATATCGGCCGATAATTTCCAACATCAAGCCGACTCTCGGATTTATGAATAGGGACTACTCGCGCAAGTAACCAGTCCTTAGGTAACCTCCCCTGGCTCAATGACGCTTGAAAAATAGGTACTAGAAACTCAGCAGCTCTTAGACAGTAACGCCTCAAAAATTCATTTGGAATGTTATCTGGACCCGGTGCCTTTTTTACATCGATATTCAGTAGCATAGAAAGAACACCCTCATATGAGACAACAATCTCTGTTCCAGGCACACCAGTAACACTAGTTATGACACTTTCACGATCATTAACTTCGGTAAAAACAGAATGAAAAAACTTATTAAATTCAGTCGCCACAAATGCTGGATTGCTGTATACTTTTCCATCCTTCATGATTTCGTTAACTTTATGTTCCTTACATGACAGATAATGCCAGAATCTGCGTGGCGAGTCCCTTAAGTAATCGCTTAAGTTAGTCGACAGGAACTCTGTTCTAGCAACCTTGACCTTTGATCGTACTTCACGGCTTAGATTAGCAATCTCTAAAGCGCTCTTATTTTTCTGCTTTCTTTTTCGTTTTAGTTTACGTTTAAGGTGAATTATGTCCCGTGCTATCCATGGATTAGACTTGTTTCTTTTTATATACTCATATGTGTTTCACGTTTCAATTCGCGGTACACTCACCACTTGAGCTGCGGCATATCACGGCGAAGTCGCTGGGCATCGGCGTCGCCTTCATGCACAATGGAGTGCGTGAACAAAAGCGTGCGGAGAAAATAGACCTCTGACCTTTTTGTTCAGAAGACTTTCGTCTCTTTTTTTTTATCCAATGTGCATGAAAGCACGTCTCCCGGCACGAGCTTTTGGCATTTTTTGCAGTTTTTAAGAGAGTTCGTGGGTACAACCCCAACCATAAGTATAGAGTGGGTTAGGGTTGTACGGTGGCGCAGCTCTTTTTATCTGTTTTCGGCTGACGATACGAGCGGACGCAGAGTGCGCCGCGTACGAGCTGTGTGCGAGCAGAGTGCGCCGGCCGTAGTGATTCAGTACGTTTCGTGCCCAAGGCCTATCGGGTGATTCTACCCCACTTGTTAACAGCTGATGGAATAAAACGTTTGACCGTTCTGTATGGTGATATCAAAGGATGACCGTAACGCGTCGAGCATTTTCGGAGTCCGGTCAATCAGGCTGGGGCCATGGGGGAAGTAGCCAGACTAGGGGCGTATCAAGTGCCTCACATTTGGCGGCTAGACGTGAAGACGGACCCTGCTAAGCAGACGTTGCTCGAGGCAGAGCGACTCGCTGTCAAGGGCAAATCATGCCTCGGCGTTGCCCATTCCGGCGGGAGCTCCGGGTAGAGGTCGACTAAATGGCGTTTGACGTCTCGAACGGCGCCATTGAAAAGGTTTTCGGGGAATACGGTGTGGTGAAGGAAGTGACGCAAGAGCAGTGGAAGATGCCAGGCTTCAACGTGGTTGAGTTACTATACGACTGGTACTCCTGGAGTTCCGGGATGGCGTCATACTCGAGCGTCTTCCGCACCAGCTTCGCCTCGGCAAGCTGCGCAGTGATCGTGGTGGTGCATGGACGGGCTACATTCTGCCTCCGCTGCTGTAGGACTTGCCATAGCCGTCTGGAATGTCGTGCTCCTTGGCGAACGGAGTGCCGGGTGTACGGGCACTGACGGGTCTACCGTGCGCGTTCGTACGCTTGAGCCGCTGGCCGAGAAGCGACCGAGGAGTATAGTGAGCTCATAATAATTGAGGAAGAGGTGGAAGGAGCAACTGGAGCCTGAGGGTGGTGCGAAGAAACACTCCGACACAAAAAACGTGGACGATGCGCTGGCCACTGCCTCCCTGAAAGAGAGCTCCCCTGCGCCAACGGCGAAGTGGCTGCAGCTCCTGATTTTGTAGTTGAGCACCCGCCGAAGTCGGAATTGGTAGCGTTATGAGAAAGTGTGAGCCTGCGCCTGACGAAAACCTCGCCGCAACAGCGATGGGTGTCGAGTGGAGCTCCGTAAAACGCCGACACAACGGCTCCACTGAAGTTTGCAAATAGTGACGGCCGTGCAAACTCGATCGGGACTGGAAAATGGGCGCGGTGAGAAGTCGCTTTACCAACCAGCAGCAGGCTTTGCTGCATCTGTAAAGCGATAGGTTGTTCCAGCCAGCTCCTGTGTGACCGTGCCGCCTTGTGCGATGTAAAGCACCAAGGTAAGCGAGTACGCTTCGTCTGATCCTGCTAGACTATGGTCTCCCCTGAAAGTTCTGTGCAAGTAGCAACCCTCAGTGCACGAGGGTTTGCAGAACGAAGAAGCCAAAGACGATTTCATCGCCATGACGTCGAGCAGCAAGACCTCGACATTTGTGCGTTGTAGAAGAACAAGCTCAACAGTTTAGGATCAGACAGAGCGTAATTCATACTTTAAAAAGCGTGTTTAAAACGGTGTTTGACATTTGTATTAGCCACGCGCTCGGAACTTTGACTGGATATGCTTTGTCAGTACGACGGAGCTTGGGGACAGTGATTCA